CCATTTCAGGTTTACTAGATAAATGATTGTATTTAGCCATTTTGGGATGGAAGCCCTTTTTTGTTAATGGTCTTTTGCTCTCGTTCTAGTTGACAGTACCCTTGGCTTCAATGCCACTACCACCAAATCATTTGAGAGCCTTGAGGGTTGTGTGTCCGACGAGACAATGAATGCCATAAAGACGATGGGCTTCAAGGACATGACAGAGATCCAATCAAAGGCAATCCCCAAACTCCTGGAGGGCCTTGACCTGCGTGGAACAGCCAAGACCGGAGCAGGAAAGACGTTGGCCTTTCTCATCCCAGCTGTAGAGTTGATGTACAAATTGAAGTTCAAGCCCAGGAATGGTGGGTAATCATGGATAATTTAGTTTGGTTCCGTTCAGTGTTCGGCATCTTAAAGATTTGAGACTTTAAAAGATTTTGAATGGTAATGCTTTTCTGCCACTCTTCAACCATAATTCATTTAAAGATTCATGCACTTGGGTATATATATTGAAAGCATAGATATCTTGTGTCTTTGAATTACCATTAAATTAAAGTATCAGGAGTGGATGTTTTGATTCAAGTTATATATTTACAACTTGTTATTGATGTATAATGATACAGGAAAATAACGAAGCTTAAATATCCATTAAGGTACCGGAGTGATCATCATCTCCCCAACTCGTGAATTGTCCATGCAAACATACGGTGTTTTGAGAGAACTCATGCAGGACCATTCGCAAACATTTGGCCTGATCATGGGAGGTGCAGACCGCAAGAGTGAAGCTGCAAAGTTGCGGAAAGGTGAGAATTTAGTTCCTTCTGTGGTTATTTTTTATTTTATTTTACTGCTCATTTAAAAAACATGCTTTGTAACTTGAATATTGAATAAAGGTTATTTTGATACTTCTGTGTCACTTCATTGGTAAACTAGTGTCATGCATTTTTTTATTGTTTTATTTTATTTTTTTTTCTAAAGGGTTCAATATGAGAACACTATTGCTTGTATCACTTGATTTTATTATTGGGATAAACAGCTTGATTTCCTTGGGTTTATATATTGAGGTTGGAAATGGAAATAATATTGTTGAGGGCAATTTTACTGTGTTACTACATTTTGTAAGAGAAATCTCAATTTGTCAGGAAAATATTCATTGCTATATGAACCTATAATACCTACCACATATGAGCACATTCCCTGTTCTTTTGTTATGCTTGTTATCATTGTTATTGGAAGGGAATATTGGATGGAAAAGCTGCAAAGCTGTATTTTTAAAATTCATTCATTTTATATGTGTAGCATGTTACGAAAGCTTTGTTATTTCATGAACTTTTTCTCTTTTTGTAGGTGTGAATATCTTGGTTGCAACACCTGGAAGGCTCCTAGATCACCTCACTAACACTCCAGACTTCTTGTACAAGAACATGGTTTGTCTTGTCATTGATGAAGCTGACCGAATTTTCGACGTTGGATTTGAGCAAGAGATGAAACAGATCTTGAATATTCTACCAAGTCAGTACCCACTTTTCTTTTATTTGATTTTGAATGGTATATTTGATTGTGTGTGTGTGTGTGTGTGTGTGTGTGTGTGTGTGTGTGTGTGTGTGTGTGTGTGTGTGTGTGTGTGTGTGTGTGTGTGTGTGTGTGTGTGAGTGATTTGCTACATAAAGAAGATAAAGGAAATTGGTTGTATAGAGGTGAAATTACCCTATAATTTCTCTGCAATACAGAACGGAGGCAGACAATGCTGTTCAGTGCAACAAAAGATACAAAAACAGACGAGCTTGCCAGACTTGCCCTGAAGACAGATCCCATGGAAGTAGATGTGGATTCAGACAAAATTAATGCAACTGTAGAGGGCCTAGAGCAAGGTAAGTCCAAAGTCCCCATATTTTTAGGGGTGTTAAGAGTGATGAATAAAATTAAGCAAAATGTTTTCTCAAAACTGTAGTTGTTTGGGGGTGAGGGACATTCCTCATATTCTTAAGAGATATGTTAGTCTAATTTTTTTTTTTATGAATGCTGGGTTATGGTTTAGATATTCTAAAATCCCTGATCTTGTGATTTTCAGTGAAATTATTGTATATGAGCTCTGAAATTGGTAGTTAAACAACAGTCCGTCTTATATGTTTGTGAACACTATTTTTTTTTTATATGAATTGTCTAGTTTCTTAAGCTTTCCAATTAGTTTTAGGCGATTAAGTATTAATTTACTTTTATGTTACATAATGATCTTTGTGGTAGATGAGATTGATTAATGATAATTTTCTTGCAGCTTATTTGGTGTGTCCAGCTGATAAGAGATTCCTTGTTCTCTACACCTTCATTAAGAAGAATCTAAAGAAGAAAGTCATGATCTTCTTCAATTCATGCATGACCGTCAAATACTATCATGAGCTCCTGAACTACATAGATGTCCCTGTCATGTGCATCCATGTAAGTTTGGGTGAAGAATGGTTTTGTTAAATCATCATTGTGTTTCCCACTATTGTTTGTCTGTAGTGGTACAAGCTAAAGTAATCTCAGAATCTGAAGTAATTTGTTTTGGAAGGTTCTGTAATTTAAAGGTTATAGTAGATGATTTTAAAGACGCTTTAAAATTGAATGGCATTAACCTAATTCATATCATAAATGTTTTAAAGGGAACATGCTGTTTAATTAATTTTGCTTAGTTTTCTTATTTCTTTGTTCTTTTTTTTCCAAAATCTGATATACCGCTAATATTTTTCCTTTTTTTTTTCTCCCTCTTTCAGGGAAAACAAAAGCAAGTGAAACGAACAAATACCTTCTACCAGTTCACAAATGCAGATTCAGGTGTCTTGTTATGCACAGACGTAGCAGCTAGAGGTTGGGACATTCCAGCAGTTGATTGGATTGTGCAGTATGATCCCCCAGACGATCCCAAGTGAGTGTATGGTTGTGCCTGTTGTCAGAGAAAGATCCAATTGTTGTGGTTGTGTGTTTTTGGTTGAGGGTTGCTTCTACAGTATTTGTAGATAATCTGGAATGTGGATTATAGGCCTGGTACTCTAATATTTTGGCAAAGTTGGTTTTTAGACTCAATGTATTAGGTAAACAGTATACTGTATATATTCTTTATTAACCCATTGCCGCCGGGGATGGCATGTACGGACATGCCATGCCCACTGTGAGTTGACTTGTTCGATTATTTTTCCACATAGATGGCTACACTTGTACTAAGTATCCAATGAGCCCATTACAGTACTGCCTGTCTCGCCCGTTCACCCTTTTCATCGATTTACGAAAATATTTAACGTTATCCTAATTTGCTGTTAAAATTAACACCATCTATATTTATAGCACTAGTAAGAATACGTTTTTTCCCGCCAATTCAAGGAAAGGTGAAATCAGGACTAGCAGAGCCATCTATGGACAGAGATATTTCGCAAAAATATTAAAAATGATTACTGCATTCCCCCCATTTTTTGTTCATTTTCCCCGGCGGCAATGGGTTAAAAAGACAGGTTATGGATTTTATTTAGTATTATTGTATGGCATTGTTGATGATAAGCTCTCACTAAACTTCGTGAAGCCCAAATAATAGAAATAAAGATCAGGAGAGTGGATCACTTTCCCAATGTGTTGTGATTTCTTTAACACCAAGACTTCTTTTTCCTTTTTTTTCCCAGGGAATACATCCACCGTGTCGGAAGAACAGCTCGTGCTGGAGGCAGAGGCCGCGCACTCCTGTTCATCCGCGAAGAAGAATTCCTGTTCATCAGTTACCTCAAATCTCACAAAGTCAATGTGGATTGCATGGACATTTCATGGACCAAAGTGGCAAACATTCAGATGCAGGTGAGGTTTCTTTGCTTGCATTTGATATTGTATTGTGTGTTACTTTTCATGTCTTGTATTAGATATACCACATGGAATGAAAGATTGTTTAAGTTTACTACTTTACTCTACTACAACATTTTTTCTGTAGGTATAAACATACACATATATCTATATCTATCTATCTATCTATCTATCTATCTATCTATATTTATCCTACCATCCACCCATCTCAATATCTATCTATATCTCTATCTATCTATTTATATATAAGCTTTTGAATATGCATATTTATACTGATATATATCTTTCACTCCATATTTCAGTTTTCACTTCAGTCCTTTCTTTTATTATTTTTTTATAATGAATAAAGAAGGAAATAATTTTGTTTAACTTGTTCTTGCAGCTGGAGAAGCTAATTGGCCAGAACCACTTCCTTCACCAAAGTGCTAAGGAAGCTTACAGAGGGTACCTAAGAGCATATCACTCGCATCAACAGAAGAACATCTTTGACATCAATACACTTGACTTGAAAAAGGTAAATGTTTATATGTGTTCACTGTATTTGGTCTATATGAATCATACATTTCTTTCCCATTTTTTTTTTTTTTTTTCTTTCTTTTTTTAATTTTTTTTCTTTTGTGTCCTTTTGCTGTTTGTCATTGCTCTCTAACAAAATTTTACTTTCGTGCAGGTGGCTAAGTGCTTTGGCTTCATTGTGCCGCCCCTCATCGACCTAAATATTGCGTCGGGAAAACTACCCCACAAGCGCGGTGGTGGAGGAGGCTATGGAGGAATCCACCAGAGGAAAGACTTCAAAACGAAAATATACCGGCAGGGGAATAGGCCTAGATATTAGGGTTTCGTATTTAATTTGTTATAATCAGAGATATATTTTTTATTGTATGTTGAGATGAACATGTTAATGGAATCTGCCTCGAAAAAAGAATTTGTTCCCCCTATTGAGTAGGCCTTATTTTGATGTGAGTGTAGTTTGAGTAAATAATTGGTCAATTATGTTCTCAATCTTCCACATTGAAATATAGCTGAATGATATTAAGTTGATATGATTTATCAATTTCGAGTTTTATTCATTCAAAATTTTGTCATTACATTTCTTCTGAGTGTTTGATGTGTATGAGGTTGAAGTGTAGGTGTGGATGACTGTAATGTTAATAGTACATGTAAGCTTACTTTAGGACATTTAAACTTACAAA